ACAATATAAGACGTGAAACCAGCAGGCATTTCAGGAACAAAAAGAGGGAATATCTGAAAGACAGAATTGATGAGCTTGCAATGAACAGTAAGAACAAGAACACTAGAGACCTGTATAGAGGAATAAATGACTTTAAGGGTGTTACCAGCCTTGAAGTAACTTAGTGAAGGATGAGAATGGTTATCTGCTTGCAGATTCCCACAATATTTTAATAGGTGGAGCAACTACTTCTCTCAGTTATTGAATTTTATTGATATTTTCTATTTCAAAAGAAGCCGTGGTAGCGTAGTCGGTATAGCGACTGGCTACGGGCTGGACTACTGAGGGGTCGGAGTTCGAGTTCCAGTAATATCAAGAATTTTCTCATCCCGAAATCGCCCAGACAGGCTCTGGCGTCCACCCAACCTTCTAGCCAATGGGTACCGAGGGTAAAGCAGGCGGGGCGTGAAGCTGACCACCTCCATGTAGTGTCAAGGTCAAGAAATTGTGGATCTACACATCCAGTCTCCCATACGCCTTCATGACATAGTGCTTAATTCATTGAGCGCGGGGATGGCACTGTCTTTTTTTTACCGTTATTTTCTATTTCGAAACTGAAATCAACATTTGAACTCTTCTCCGAGTCAAAAACGTTTCCGGTTTTTGTCACAGCCAGTCCGGAAGTCCTACAAGCCACTGTTATAGCAATAGACTGTAATGACAGTCCAGTGGTACAGTCAGGACATATCGGTTGTTTCCTCAGACAAAGGCTGTGCTCACTGGTGCACACATAATCATTCTGAAACTTCACTAAACACAATATACTAGAAAAGAAGAAATGTTCAGTAAGGTAGTGGTGGATATTGTTCATTTTATCCTCTTATTTAATGCAGTAGTCTCTCCGAATATAGGTGTGCATCGAAGTTCGACGAAAGAAAAATAGGTACAAATTAACAGGCTTCGCTGTGTTTATAAAACGAAGGATTCTTGCGTACATTATACCTCACTTTCTCCTACTTGTTACCTCATTCTCGTCCATTCTTTTTCCAGAATTGAATAAAACCTTTTTCATGTAGTAGTTTTAATAAGATTAGGCGGAAATTTGACACAAAGATGATTTCATTATGGCGGTAAAATCAGTGCAATTAGACTTAAATACCGACAAGAAATCTGCAATTATTTTCTGCCTCTGTGACAACTAGCGCAGGAATTGGACCAATAATGCAATAAGATTATTACTAATGTGGCGCCGGTTCGAGAACTATTTCACGTTGCCTGAAGTCTGACGTCACATACGAGTAATGTTACTGAAAGCTTATAGGCAGTCATGATGCAATTTGTATCGTTGAGCAGTGATGAATAAAAAAACTCCGTGACAAGTAGTCCACAAGCGAACTATACCGACCGAGCGACCGCCGCTTGTTGGCGAAGTTAGTGCCAATTTTTGCGGATAGAGGGATGTCACGTGGTCAGCGCAACGGATCCCCACGGTCGTTAATCTCGGTGTTCTAGACCGGAGCCTATATTTCCTTGAAATAGCTCATCAATTCTCCTCACAAGGCTGAGTGGATCCACTAGTTCTCATAAAATCTGGTAGCGACCGGAATCGCACCCGGGACCTCTGGAACTGTATCCAGGAACTCTGACCATTAGACCACAGCGGCGAATAAAACTCNGAACCTGATTATTTTAAAGCCTTGCTCTTAATCCACTCAGTTTCATGAGAGACATATGGATATGGTTTTTAAATTGTATTTCTATGGCGTATTATTTGGTCTCATTTACGAGCATTGCCCCAGTGAATTTTACCGCAGACTTCTGTGCTTATTTTTAAGACCAAGTACTAGTTGTTACACAGGTAGCAGTACTCCCCAGCAGAAGTAACATGTGCTACATATATCTGTTTCATCTTGTTTCAGAGGCTTGATGCAGTCACTGAGGCTGTGGGTAAGTACATTAAGGTTAGGGTACGTTGGGGGCTATGTCGGCCAGTTCCCGAAGTGCGCAGTCTCTGCAGCTGCTAAGACGTGTTGGCTTCATAGTAATCAGTGACCTTATGATCCCGTGTTGGTTGCACGCTGTGTTTAGTGAAATTGCGAAGTTTTGTTTTTTTACAGCTAATTATGTATTTCAAGGTTATAGCTTCCATTCGACATCTGCGTAAAGTAAATAAACTACGAAATAACCTATAAATTATGCTCTAAAATAAGTTGGCCGAATGTCGGATACATTTTTGGACAGACTTTTACGTGTACTAAACAAGTAGTTCTAGGAAGAATTAATCGTCTACTTTCCTTTCAGTCGGTCGGTCGGTCGGGTAAACTGCTTCTGGCTTTCACCAACAATATCAATCATGGTTTCGGGTCCCATTACCGTATACTTGTTATTTTCAATGGTTTACGTGTTTTTACTACGCATCGAATATTTTATGCGACACGGACCGCGTAGAAACACGTCCAACAATTCTATTGTTGCGTATGTATTCGTATTCACCGGGCCTTTGTCTGTCAACGATAGGTGGGCTACACAGACACACATGCAGCAATGTGATCTTGTAAGCCCCCTTTTATTTTTTAGTCTACGTTCCGTATTTTGAAACAAGGAGTTCTGGGAAGAAGTAATCGTCCTCTTTCCTTTGATACGACTCGGACCGCACAGAGAACCAAAAAAAAATAGGGAATATACAGACACACGGGCAAACGTACAGACAACAAGGTGATCTTACAAGCCTCCCCTTATTTTTTTTTCAAAATAACGAAAATGCTCTTAAGAGGACACATTGGCCACATTTTCTTGCGTTTGGCTGCTTTATTTATTATAACCTAAGTTGTAAGACAGAGCAGTAGGTGCATTTCCTGAGGGGTACTGTCCTGGTCATGGATGGCAACGAGATGAGAGGCTCGTCCCCAGAAACAAAATCTTCCGGCTCCAAAGAACGTGTCTTTGTGACTATTTTTAGCCTTAAGGGAGAGCCGCACTTCGGGGACAGGTTCTTTTGAAACTTTCATTGGACGATGAGTTTTCTCCCACCACCTTTAGTTCCGCGGAAATTAGCTAAGCCGCTGTGCCCCCTCCCGTCCACAACGCGTATGACCTTAGAATCCATACCTTGTACAGTCGTTATACCAGTTTCATCCACATTACACTTTTTTTATTGCTAGTGGGGTGGGACTAAGTCCCTTGTACTGCGGCCACTTCTGGCCTATTGTACCAGCCCCAGATGATAAGTAAGGGTGATTGTGGAGCAATTGGTAGAATGAAGATCGGCAGGGGAAACCGAAGTACTCGGAGAAAAGCTGCCCCAGCGCCACTTTGTCCACCACAAATCCCACCTGACCGAACCCGGGCTGCCGCGGTGGGAAGCCAGCGACTAACTGCTTGAGCTATGGCGCGGCCCCCTTTACACATCTCAAAAGGATAAAATGTTAATGCCTGAAGTTCTAACCGTAAGAGCTGGAAAAGTCATCAGCCTTTTCCTTGTGAAGTGTTTCACTGTGCTCAATGAAAGGGCACTAGACGTCTCATACAGGCAGTCTCACTTGCGGTATGAATTTTCACTTGCGGCGAAGTGTTTTTTTTTTTTTTTTGTGAGTCGGTTTTTATGTATTTTGGAGTTAACGAAATTTTGAGGATTCATTTCCTACGTCTGTTATGGTGAGAAGCTGAATTGAAATTAACGCTTTTTGACATACCAGTTCCCATGCCCATTGCATTGNTCTCACCCTCTCCAATAACAACAACAAAGAAATTGCTGGTCATGAGTGGCTAAAAGAGCTTCCTTCGACAGTAACCACAGCTGACGCGATATAATCTGAATTTCTGGCAGCGTCGTTAAATAAACCATAAATAAATAATTTTTTTTACATAATCCAACAATCCATTTTTTTGTGGATCCGTTTGTCCTTTTGCATTGTTTATCTTATAATATCGCTTTGTTTCAGTGACATTTACTTTCATTTCGAAGATTGAAACCGATCCAACGTGCATGTATCCCCCCCACCCATTGAATTAGTTTTGATTTTTTAATAACTCGTTCAATAACGTCAATATCTGAAAAATAACTCTCAGAGATATGGACGAATGGCCATGGTATGCCTTTCAGTACCACTGCCGAACAAGGTAGAGAAAGGAACCCATTAATCTAGCCGGAAAAGCGCCTTTATTAACGGGTTTCGCAAGTTCTGAGCTTTAGAAAACAGATTATTGTAAGATAGGACCAAGCTGTAAACGCTAGGACATAATGGTCTTTGCGTTGAGTAAGATTTTCCCCTCTCTGTTGTCAGCTACTTTCTGAAATTCGAATTTAAATATCAACACGATTAGCCATTTGCCTCGGTTCTTTGTGTCAGCTGATTTGTATGCTTTGCTGTTTGCTGTAACTGATGATTCGAACCACCTGCATTCAGAATGACCTGAGGAGATTGTCATTCTTTGCTTATAGTTCTTCTACTAATAGATTCTAAATGGTTCTGATGATGGTGTATAATACTCAGATTACTGGGTTTTCATACTTTTCCATCGTCCGGTATTCTAGAAGCTAGAAGACACAACGTTTCGGAAACTGGGTCTCTTTTCGTCCTCATGTGAGGGGAGGAGGAGACATCTATCAGTAATTGAGGTTAGCTCTTCCTAAGGGACCCAACGGGGACCGCCATAGCTCAGGAGGTTAGTCGCTGGCTTCCCACCGCGGCGTCCCGGGTTCGATTCCCGGGTCTGGTCAAGTGGGATTTGTGGTGAAGAAAGTGGCACTGAGGCGGGTTTTCTCCGAGTGCTTCGGTTTCCCCTGCCAATCTTCATTCCACCAAATTCAAAATCATAATCACCCGGGGCAGGCTACAATAGACCAATCAGTGGCCGCCGTGCAGAGTGGACCCAGTTGGACTCCACCCCCCACTAGGCGAAAAAAAAGGGACCCAACAGAGTAAGTGTCTCCCCCTCCCTCACCTGAGGACGGAAACAGATCCAGTTTCTGAAACGTGTTTTCTAACTTCTAGAATACCGGATGATGGACAAAGCCCGAAAATCCAGTAATTCTGAGCTCTTCTACTGTATGAGTCTTACATCTGAGCTTCGCTTCAAGACTAGAGCTACATTGTGAACTGTTATTACTGTATTTGGCTCCGTCTGCACAATTATTTATATACGGCTAGATATACCATACGCTACGATTTTGCTATGTTTCAGCCTTTCGGCGTCGGTTGTATTTATTTGAGAAATCCTTAAGTATTTATGTAAATGTATGTTAGCTGCGAAATATTCCAGAATGAAATGTAAGACAAGAGGGGAAAATTTTATTCAACCTATAATCTAATATGTATTACTTGACATGAGCAAATTAACTATGAGAGTGTGGCTTTGAGGAAACACGTTTCTACGTCGTGAGGTAGAAATCCTTAACTGCATGTTTGGTTTTGTCGGTCTTGTTGATGCAATACACGTTGTTCGAAACTTGCAGAAATATTGTCTTACGATTCACACACGCGCTCTCACTTTGCAGTGACTTAGACAACTTATATATGAATACTCATGCCCATTCGAAGGGAACAGAAAATCGTGCCGTGCTTTTGCAAACGTAATACGACATCAACCGGGGGGATTTTCACGACCATTGCATTAGAATCACGCAATTCCAACTAATCTTACCATATGAGAATTTCCTGAATATTAGCAGTAGCTACAGAACAGAAGGGTAATAAGAAGACACCCTTCACTACTTCAGGACACGTCTCACACAGCACCCCTGAGGTGTCACGAACAACAAGGCGGCAGTATGAAGTATGTATAATTAAACCACAGGTAAAAGGTAAAGTTGTCCCTATGCTTAACTAAATAAGCACTGCGTCCTGAAGACGTGTAGGAGAGTGACTGTATAGATGCACGTTTTCTTTACCTCGGCACTAGTTGGAGGTGAGTGGTCAGCTTCACGCCCCGGCCGCTTTACCCCAGTATCCATTGAATAGGAGGCTGGGTGGGCCGCAGAGTCGGTCTGGACGACGTGGAGAAGAGAAAATTCTTAACCATACTGGGACTCGAACTCCGACCCCTGCGTCTTCCAGCCCGTAGCCAGTATTAAACCACAGGACGATTATCTATCTAAATCACTGCATAATTTAAACATCCTACTGTGGAAAAATGCCATGAATTTTGAACTTTTTAACTATCGACAGACTATTTTTTTATGCTAGTGGGGTGGGACTAAGTCTCTTGTACTGCGGCCACTTCTGGCCTGTTGTACCAGCCCCAGATGATAGGTGAGGGTGATTGTGGAGCAATTGGTGGAATGAAGATTGGCAGGGGAAACAGAAGCACTCGGAGAAAACCTGCCCCAGTGCCACTTTGTCCACCACAAATCCCACTTGACCTGACCTGGAATGGAACTCGGGCCGCCGCTGTGGGAAACCAGCGACTAACCGCTTGAGCTATGGCGCGGCCATCGACAGACTGTAGAGTATAGATTATAGACTAAGGAAACATTTGGTTGAATTGAAATACCGCTGAGAAGAAAATTCTTTATTCCGTTATATCCCGTGGTGTTTCAAGATGGCGATCGGGAGCTTTCGGTTCTGTAGTTTTATAGAGTCTTTTGTCACCGAATATGTGCACCTTCTGACACGGAAGGCATCGTTATTAGTACTGAATTATGTGACCTTTAAACCGTTTGCTGTAATCCATGCAAGCGACCGTTGAAGAGCTAGGCGGGAGGAGAAATTCATTGAGATGGATTTCATCATCAATTTTTCCTCTTCGCTAAATGAGTAGCTACATGTTGTATAGTAAGAGACATAAAATCTAAATTATGTAGTTAATTAGCCATGAATTACTGCATTTATATGTCGTTTTGCATGGTTGGGGTGAATGTGTATAGTCAAGATGTTTTCGAATCAAGTGGCATTTTATTTGAAAAGAACTGAATGCGGTGATACTACTCGTCTTAGTATAGGACTGCC